AGGGAGGAGGAGGAGGAGGAGGGAGGCTCCCGGGCGTGCCCCAACGACTGCCCCGCGGGCCGCGCGGCATGTGCCGCCGGCCTCGGAGCCTCCCCGCTGGGCTCTCTCCTCGACACGTTCTTTTGCCGCCTCTCCGGGGCTGGGAGCGTCGCAGGAGACCTGCTGCGCGAGCTTCTGCACGCACGAAATGGGTACTGAAAGAATGGGTACAATGCCCAACAGCAGTTCCTGTTCATTTTGAACAGGACTCGCTGTTCGCGCCGCCGCGGCCTGTGTCCATTTGAGACAGAAGGCCGCCTGCCCAACAGCGGCCGCTGTTGGTTTGGGACAACATTTGTTGTTGGGCAGTGTACCCATTCTTTCCGTGCCCATTTCGGGCGTCCAAAGAGCCGATTTTGTGAATGCCTCCTGCCCAGACCCCCTCGGGCAATGAAATAAGCATGACGGGAGGCTTTTCCTAATTTTCGGCCTCCGGGGGCCCTCCCCGGGCCACGGGACCATCAAAAAACGAGTCAGGATGAGAAACAGGTCTTGGAAGGGTTCGAGACCTCTGGGGGTCGACGTAACGAAAAAATCATGACGTCGTGGGTCTGGGTTTGCTGCTCCCCCTGGGGACATGGAAGAAGTACCCCTACCCCTAGCCCTCCGTCGTTTGTCCCACTGTTTGGACCTCCTGAGAGGCCCTCGTCGCCACTGCTGGATTCGCCCCGACCACCTGGTCAGAACGCCTCCCGGGGGAGGTCCGGGGAGCAGCGGTATTGGTACCTTTTGGTTTCCCCCTTTTCGTCTGGCCCGAGAGGGGACTCCCTAAGATGGCCCAGTGGCCCAAGAGGGCTTCCAGATGAGCTTGAGATTAAGTCGGGCATTTCCCTCTACAGGAGGAATATAGCGGACGATTTTTTGTTTTGGAGTACAAGGACAAGGATATCCGCATAAGGGAGTGCAGCGTCAAAACACCTTCTGCCAAAATCCCCTGCGATTGATTGTGCAACAGCCCTGCCTTCTCGCTAGGGCCGGCAGGGGGCATACTACGTTGCTCAAAGATTGAGCTACCTTACGTTCACGAGTCCCTGCGGGTCGGTCAGTGCGGGGGGAGCGGCTGCTGGCCCGTCCGAGTGCCCTAGGGGAGGGGACGCGCGGGCTTAGCAGTGCGCCCAAGCCAGGGGGGAGGAAACGACGACACGACCATTCAAAAGGAGGAGAGGGGGGAGGGTCGGGAGGCCCGTGTCCCCAAACTGTTGCTGGGGGGGCTGCTTATTTATTGTTTTAATCATATACTCCGTTCTCCCGCTCGGCTCACTTCTCGGTCCGGCCGAGAGTTGTCCCATGCATTGTCGCATCTGTACTCTGATACCCTGTTGTAGTATACCATTGATTCCCCTCGAAGTATATGTGGGGTAGAGCATGCTGGTAGTCACGGTATATAGTAGGTGGAGCCATCGAGGAAACACTCTGGTGGACTTCGTGATGTTCATTTTTATCTCCTTCGACACCCTGCAGTAATGTACCCGTCGGCACTCCAAACATACTTCCCATTGCGATGGCAGTGCGAGCACTTCGTGATGCCCATCCTGTATGCCCCGAGTTGCATTCGGAGAATACCTCGCTAATGCATCTCTTGGCTGCCTGTGGGCTCGTCCAGCTTGCCTAGAGTAGCACTCCGAGAAAATCTCGCTAATGCTTTTCTTGGCATTCCAGTAGGCTCCAGTGGGTGCACTCACCCGAGGCCGGAGGCCGCTGGAGGAGCTGGCCGTAGTCGCCTCCTCCGACTTGGTGTAGCCGAACTTTGCCTCGAAGATCTCGGTGCCATCCAGCAAGGTCTGCCTGATGTCTCGTAGCGTCTGGCGCTCCTTAAGCCTCTTCACTTCCTCTGGGTCGAGATTGTCCTCGTTGCTCAGCTCCTTCAAGGCGGCCTTCATGACTCTGTGGAGGTTCTCATCGTTGTTCTTTGATATCTTCAGCGCCAGCTCACACCAGCTCTGTACAGTGAAGGCCTTCCTCCCTGCCCTTTCCCACCCGTCCACAGGGTACCTTGCGATGAGGTCGCAACCTTTGACCTTGCGCGTCATCGGGAAGGACACGGGGATCAGCTCGAAAAGCTCCTCTGGGCTCATCTTCTGGTCTGCGTCGAAGAACTGTAGTGGCACTCCTTGATGGCGCCGTCTAGCTGCTGCAGCAGCCTTTCTGCTACGGGTGCTTCCCGTATATTATTTCCCACCTTAGGCTCCACCACCATCGACGGCCCACTCTTGTACGGGAGGAACTTCGACACGCACCCGATCTTTGGCCACCCCTCGCAGTCGTCGCCGAACGCTTCCTTCACCTAGTCCACCCATTCTTTCATGAACACATCTTCTGGGTGGCTCTCCAGCGCCTTGAC